TTGTTCGAAGCAACTTCCAAGGGCAAATGATGTTCATTTAATACCGTTCTTGGTAACCTCAACCGATGATGAGCCCTCAGCGAGTACCATATCCATGAGCTTGCAAATTTCCAGTGTGGCAATTATCCCAGATTGCAGGTTTTTTCATCACAAGACGTCTCGTCTCTTTTTCATAATACAGTGCAGGTTATCATCAGTTACAGGCAAGGAGGTAATTTGCTATTAATTCCCAATAAGATATTTAATATCAACGTCTGAATGCGTTATAAACAATATTGTTTTATGAGTATTCCATATGTATAAAAAATTAGTATATAGTATGGTATAATTCTTATATGATTTGCACATTGGGGAATACGTATGATTGGCTGAGTTCATGTGATTGGCTGAGTTGACTTCTAGAATCGGTTTTTGAAGTTATTTATTTTTCGATAGATGTTGACCGAACTATTTTTTCGTTCAACTGACATATTCATACCCCAGGACAATCAAACGGAACAAAATACACAATATAAAGCTACAAGCAGGGGAATTGAATTCTTTATCACCAATTAAAAAAAAATTCGAAGGATTAAACACGGTTTTAAAGGAATTTATTACTGGATCGAGTCACTCACAAACATATCATAAAGTCGATGTCCTTCGGTCTTTTATTTGTTTGTGAGTGACTTGGTCCAGTTAATACTCCAATGAATTCCGTTAAAACGGTGTTTAATCCTAAAATGATAAGAAAGGTTACTTTATAAAACATGCGAGGAAATACGAAAAGCATTAACAATTATCGCCTGTAAAGTTGTATGAAAACCCGTCTCATTTACATAAATCCTGACGAGGTGGTGCTTATTACAAGCATGTAACCTAAATATAGCACCGACAGTATCCAGAATTACACAATATACCCATAAAAGTATATGCAAGAGACGTTCAAAGAGGGTGTTCAATGTACGTACATCTTATATCAGTGCAAATAAAATAAAAAAAGTTGAAAGTCCAAAAACCAAATACCAAAAAAATGTTTAAGGGCTAATGGAGAACCAAATACCATAAAGGACCTATAAGTAACGTCAGGTAATGGTGTGCAATCCCAATAAATACATGCAAACATTTGCATTGTGGAGATTTTTCTGACGTCCATCGGCTTTTTTTCGACTTGCTAGCTCCTGGAGTCGTGAAAAGATAACTTCATAATGAAAATAGGTAATTTGCTGACCTAAGTAAAATTTCTGCACATTTCCACGTTTCGTGGCTATACCATTTCATTTTCTACTGGTAAACTTCAACAATCATTTTCTACTCATCAGTAACAACATTTTACTTAGAAAGTAGCATTTAACTCGAGTAAAAAAAAATCAATGTCAATTGGTTTTGAATTCAACATTTTCGTATCAAATCTCGGCTTTATTTTATTTACATCTTTACCATTTAAGGGGAAATAATACACTTGTAAGCAATTAAATATGTCATAATGAATAAAAGGTAATTTAAAAAGAAAAGAGGGGGATTTTGTCATGTTTGATCGTAACTTGTCATACCATTAACCATTGAGTATGTTTAAAGTTTAATTACACCTTATGTAAGAATCCTGGAATTTGATTGGTTGATAGCCAGTGTATTTGTCACCAATTTACTGTTATCAAATGAATATCGTTCATTTTTTAACGCCGCCGGGGTATATGCAAAAAGGATATGCCTTTTTTACCCTCTCTGCCATGGTATTTGCCAAAAAATACTCTATCCGACTGGACGCTTGTAACGTCACGATCATCAATGCGTTTTTGAACGTTACCATTCGGTGTAATTAAACAGATATAGCATGTTCTTGAGGGGTATTTGCGAAAAATACCAGTCTTGAAAATGAATTTCCCTCGCCTTACGGCTCGCGAAATTTAACGTTCTCTCGACTGGTATTTTTCGCAAATACCCCTCCTTAACATGATATATCTGTTCATAATGAAAATTTATCTGGACCGTACGCAATTTATCCTTTATTTAAAAATATTTATTCAATCATCTTCTTTGAAGCATTTAGAATAAGTGGATCCGTCCAACATACTTAGACTTATCATATAGGATGAAAACACAAATGTGCTGGTAGGAGAGGCTGAATCAAAATGCTTCCGCCTTTAATGTCGTGAGGAAACATATTTCAGCATTTTAATAGGTCTATAGTGCACAATCTGTGCATGCATTTTTGTGTTACATCTTGCAATGTAAGCATGTAACTGGGGGCGACGAGGTTTATTTCGAAAGTTAACTATAATAAGATATTATTTCATAAAATAATAATGTATGTACTTCATGTATGTGAAGTTTTTTAAAAAAAAAATTCCGCTTCACGAGGTGTACCAGAATAAAAGTCATAAGTAAACACAATTCAGACAATAAGAACAGTTTGGTCAAACTAAACATCGATAACGTCTCGTCAGGTTGGTAAAGAGGGGGCAAATTAAGTGAGTAGGTACATTGCGGTTTCATCGAATGTTTAACTTTATGTTTATGTATTCTACTTATTCTTTTGTTTTCAAAATGGGACGTCTCTTGTTTTACATGGAAGCGCTGCAAAATGTTTCAACAACATTGTTGTAAATTGTTGTAAATTGTAACAATTTAAACACATAAATGTCATGAATAGTAACAGGGAAATTCCTGTGAATATTACATCACCCAACAATAGCTGCTATGTGTCAAACGTTTGAAGGACAATATTCCTACCATTTGTAAGTGTAATTGAACGAAAATTCTTTGTTTAGTTTCGGCCTAGTTGACAGGACTAGCTTGGTATACAGAAGAAAAAACGTTTGGATTTCAAAATTGTGGAAATCATACAAAACACGTAATGCACATAGAACGCACACTGCGTCAAACAAATGCGGATTGTCCCAGCAATTTTACTGAGCTAGAGGATGACAATCTTCGGACAGTCTATGGTATTCGATTCCAAAAGTGTGAAAGTACTAACAATATTTCTATTAATTAATCTAAGCCGAGTGTTAAATCTTTGATACACAAATCGCTCTTCGATACCGTGTGTGATTTTTGTCAAATGTGTGACTGTGATAAGTGGACCCAGAATGACAAAAAATATATTCAAATTATGCCCTAAATGAGGAACATCGCAGGCTACATGTTGTGACCAGTAAACTGATAATTCATGGCAAATATGTGGTCATTTTTTTCTTACGTTATTGCATTAAGTTGGACTGAACGGAAGAAACCCTCTCTCCGCAGTCATTTGCATTACTTACTTAAACTGAAATGTCTATGTCTATAAATGAAATTCAATTTTCAATAATTAATTTGATTGTCTAATTCATGAAATCAGAAACATGAAAGCCACGGGTCACAAAACTAAGGTATGTCAGGGCTTAATGTCTTGCTCCATTTTGTTGGGTGCTCTACATTGGCCCTTACGATGTCCGTAATACATTCCAATCCAGCTCTCCAAACCTGTACCGTGCCCGAAGCTCTCGGTCCGACAAATAATCGATGGTGAGTAGCCTGTCTCCTTATGATTTCGGCTGATTTTGTGGTACAAGCAAGCCACGTACTTGCATGGCATCCATTTTAAATGTACTATTAAGATTTATAGCCCTCATTCGTTCAATTAAATTTAATAGTGAGTCAATATATTATTAACGTTAATTGACGTTTGTGCGCAAGTAATAGACTTTAAATTTAAGTGTACTTTTAATAGACTATTAACTTTAATAGGCGTTTCTGCAACCCAGTCCAGTATTATCGCTTCATCAGCCGATTTACCGATTATGTCCTTATCCCGATTGTAGCATTTTGTATGAATGTGGATTTGCATGGCGAGTGATAAATGCAAAGCAGGAGCCACCCATCCTGTCAAAGCACCTTGTCTATTTTCTTTTTGAGATTTCAAGTTTTTTCGGTTGTTACCTTGATTAGTTTTCTTATTTGATTTATTCGATTTGAACATCGGTAAACTATAGTTGCCTTTATTTATCACAAAAGGTGACTAGGGTCCTCTGGTAAAAAAGGAAATGGAAATAATTGGAGTAAGAATCAATATAAAACGCAAATGATTGTTACATTTGTAAACTGACTTCCAGTAGGCAGTATGTGAATACTCGTCCTTTCCATACAATTAAAAAATATTGTATACTAATTTTCGCGAGTATATATTTTTTTTTTTTTTTTCCTTGTTCACATTACATTTAAACTTTATTGAGTAGGATTGTATGTAACCACGTATTAGAACAATATACTTCGAATAAATTTACCGGTCAAAACCTTTTTTTTTATTATTGATATAATTCGTCTTTTATAAAACATAAAGCTTTGATAAAATATATTCAATTTAAATTCATACTAATAACTATTTGCGGTATAAAACATGCGAATAAGAGAGAAGGTAATATAGAGGGTTTTTTTGCCTTATAGAGTACAACAATAAAGGACTTTTAGTCTGAAACAGTCATTTTGATCTTAACGTCATCTGAGAAGTCTGAACCATAAGTTATTTAGTCATTTTCAGAAGTATCAGTCAATTTTGAGATTTATTCAATACGGTAAATTCAGTAGTATTCAGCTTGCAGTCAATTCAATACTGCACAGTAGTTTTTCAGATAATTCAGTATGTTGTTGATCTGTACAGTTAAGTTACAAATACTGAACAGTCTGCACATAGACTGAACAGATCTTAATTGATAGCTAGTAAATTATCTGTAAAAAACGAAATCAACCGCAGTCTGAATATTAATGGAAAGACTAAATGACATAATTAATTGCCCAATCCTTTAAAGAACTATTCAAATCAAAATTGGTTTACAGTAGTAATTTTTCGTCAGAAAAGTACCTACTTTAAGCAGTCAAATTAATTTTGGAGGAAAACATAATAAAATTGCCATAATTACCTCGATTTTAAAAATTTTGACAGATTATAAATATGAATAATAATTTAGCTCCAAGAGACATTTGCTTTTAAGACGTCGCATGGTAAAAAACCATGGGTCCGGTCAGAAAGATCAAATAGAAAGTAATACATATTTAATCAAAATACTTCCTAAGTGGAACTTTGTAAGTTAGTAAATTATTTGGGTTTTGTTAGTATTATTTAAAAAGCTGAAGGACTTAGGATCACTGTAGAACCCTTCATGAAATTTATATATGGTATTGAAATAGGATCACATATTTTGTATTAATAAACTTCCAGGAACCAGTGCTCTCTAAGATGAATGTAAAGATTTGTTGAATTTTTCGGCACAAGCCAGAAGACTTGAAATGACTGTCTCTTTACATAACATAAGACAACGATGCTGTGAATGACTGAAATTGCAGTATTAAGAAAAAAATTGGGCCATGAATTTGTGGTCTGATTCATTATATGAAGATATTAATACGAGTACAATATCGTTTGTACGGTCAGGCTGTTCCTTATATTCAATTATACCAAAACATATCTGAAAAAGAAAATTTCTGTCAATTATGTCATATATGTAAACTTTGACGTGCTTCTTGAATAACAAATGGCATTTCTAACATAATCTTCCTATTTATTTATCAATAAAATTCACAAATTTGAAAAAAAAATTAGTTACTTTGCTACTTTTGTCATTTTATAGACCGGAATGACCCTTCTATTACTATTAATGTTCCCTCTTAACGTTTTTTTTTAATGTCCTTCAAGATGTAATTTACCTTTTGGGCCCCGGTAAGGACATGTATGTTAAGTGTTGACAAAGGAATTTGTGTCAATCGTATGGAAAGTGTTCCAAAATAAAAAAAAAATTAGATACAAGCCTATGTTTCTTAAAAGCTATGCAATATTATACTGATAGTTTCATCAACACTTCGCAAAACGTAAAGAGATATAATGGATACAATTAGCTTCATTCATTCAAATGATGTCACAGTTTATGTTTTGCTAAAAGAGTTTAAGGCAGCTCAATTAGTCCATTACTAATATTTTCTGCAAAGTTTTTCTGTGAATTGTCAGTTGTAATGTAATATTCATTTTATGTTGTTCACACTAGACTCCTTGAACAGTATGAAAATAATGCTACTTTTCCATAGCCTTTTGGACAAGTCCTGGAAAAAAGTAAAGTTCTTTCTCTACACAATATTCTGATAAGACAACTTGCGCAACGGGTTTTTTCTCAGCTGTCTTTGTCTTCCCATCTTCTGTCATTTTCGGTACCACACTTTGAAACAGACAAGTGTTCACCTGTAAAGGTAAGTAACATGGGAAAGCCAACTCTAAAATCGTATATTCATGATTATTGGAAAAATAAAATTTCTATTTTCAAAAATCTAGGTGACCCTATTCAAATTCCAAAGTTTCTGAATGTGATTTATGAATAAGATAACATAACTGATAATTGTATGATGTATCCGAATAAAAGAAACTCAATCATTTGGATAGATGGAGATAAATGAATGTCAATTTATTTTGAAACCTGTGGTATGAGGAGTAAAGATTGCTACACTTTCCAAAAATTGTTTTTGCACTTACTCTGAACTAGCCTTATTTGTGATGGTGACACGAACAAATTATGTTATATGTTTTCTTCATTGATTTATTTCAAAATGTCTGTTAGAGATTTTGTTTAGTATCATATCCTTTCAATGCACAAATTTTAGGAAAGAGTTTTTATATACTAAATCTTTCTACTTCAATAAATCTTATTTTACAAATTTGTAGACAGTTTTGTCTGTTAATGGTCACTATGTATCTCAATGTATATGTACGTAAAATGTAGATAAGAAATATATATTTTATGACACATTCTCAATCAGAGTGGCATTAAATTAATATCAATATTCAGTGGGAGTAACTAAAAAATAAAAAAAAGTTCACTAAAACTGTGTTGATTTATGCAGGCAAACATATTTGTTACGAAATCATATTTAGATATACATGTATCCTGACTTCTTATTTTGGTGCAGGTTGAGTTTTGTTTACAAAAAAGAGAAATGTGGGCACTCTGAATTAAGGCCGACCATAGATTGTAGTAAAAAAGAGGCGAAAGATACCAAACGGACAATCAAACTCATAAGTCGAAAATAAACTGACAACGCCATGGCAAAAAAAAACCCGAACCAAAACACAAACAACAGTATACAATACACAACATTAAAAACTAAAGACTGAGCAACAGACTAGTAACTGTAAACCAATACTGTTTTCGTTGATCATGTTTATTTTATATATACATACATAGAATTGTTGTCATTGTTAATCGATGTTATCTATTAACCAAGTGTTTAAGCTAACAAATGTACACGGACTGCTTCATAGTAAAACGGATCAGAGCTTAAACATTTTATATGAAATATACATGACTCACAGAGATATCTATATTACAATCAAAGTTTGCTGCATACTGTATATTTATAAAATGTATTGTTTATACAAAGAAACAAAGACATTTTTAAAAATTATAAAAAAATTATCGATGTAAAGCGGTCCTGGTCACAACTTAACTTAGTAACAAGCCAAAAGTTATCACGTCTGGTTTGATCAGAGTTGTCAATGTCGAAGTTAACTTATTGCATGACTGGTTTTGAAGTTAACTCTAGTAGGGGACCTGTCTAAAGTTAGCTTTTTTTTTGGCAATCATAAAACAATTGTTGGTCCAAGATTGCATGTTTAGTTAACTTGATTTTGGTCCTGGTCGAAGCAGTCCTAAAACTTGTCACAGGTTAACTTTTTACCAGTCAAAATAACTGGTTATCAAGTTAAATTGCTGGACAGGTTTGAACTGCACTCATCTGTATTTGGTTTGTCAGGTTTTTGCAGTCATATATTAATGTCTTGAGATGCTACACCAATTAGTATACTTTTTCTCAAAAAAAATACTAGCATGTTTGTGATATTTTACCTCATTTAACAACTCAATAAATGACTTCTCACACGCAGAATTCCTGAAGACATGTATTAGTGCTTGAATGAAATATGATCCATTCATGTTTTCGCCAATTATCCATGGACCTTGTTCTGAAAATAATACAATACACTATTAGGCTATGGTAAATTCGTTTTCTTGTTATCAGATACTGATTCATAAGCACAACTCAGCTGTTCTTTTTTTCGTTATATCTTGTATGTACGTAGAATAAAAAGAACAGTGAGAAACAACCATTACGTAATCGTACTACCTCACAGTGAACTTTGATTGAATTTGGATATTCTTTTTCGTTCTCTTGTGGACAATTTAGCTCCTAGTTATCATCACCGTTTTCAGATTTGTAAGTTTGAGGAGTCCTGATAAGGGTTAATTCAGAAAAATGTTTCTAACTCACGAAATTTATTTAAGTGTTGTTATCATTTAAAGAGGCCAACAGGCAGCAATAACTAGAACAAACTTCTTCAATAGTTTATTGTGAATAGTTGCTGCATGTACCGTTTATTTTATTACTGCTACTGGATCAAAACCTTTTTTAGTGAAATCACCAGCCCAGTCTCTAGTGAAATCTTCTGCAATAAAAGTTCCAAAACACTTTAAATTATGGAATATATTTCTCTCATGCAAAACTTGTCCGGGTTTGGTTTTACTTTTGGTACATTTTGATTTTTTTAGCTCTTCATCGATAGTGTTTGGTTGTAGATTTAAAACAACTTTGGCTCTGAAGAGACCTTAATTGTCGACATCAGGTGCAGAAAACTGGTACCGTTGGTGTTATTTAATCTCATATGATTGCAACAATTGAAAATTATTAAAAGTGTGCATGTTCTATTCCTCGATCTTCTATGAAGCTAGACATGATCAAGGAAAAGGACTTCTCTCATGGAACAATAATGTCATGGTTAAATTCTAAAACTAATTGCAACCTCCAAATAAAGAGAACATGCATGGAGAAAAATACAGCTACTGTTAGACAACCGACCAAAAAGCGTTCCTTGATTAATCAGGATATTTGAGGAAACCTGATTATTGAATGAATTAAGGAGAGCGTTTGCTTTGTGTTTTCATTGCCTTGTTATGAGAGATATACATATATATATAGATTGTGGATTTAATCATGATCATCTCGCATCTGTTGTACAAATTATTCTTTTTCTAAATAAACAAAGTCAATGGGATACAACATCGTAAGTCACATATACAATTAACTATTAACACGGGGATATGTCTCTCCCGTAATACATTTTGTTGCATGTAGTAAAATGCAAATGTTAAAATTTAAATTGCAAACTAATTCAACAACATACATGATGTCATATATTTACAAAACCCTGTTAACAATAAACTGACGTAATCAAACCTTATGAATGAACTATGCTAACATTTTTTAACGTCAACATAACATGACTGGGAAAGCTGCGTGAAATTATCTGCAATTCAAGGAGATGTGATAATGGTAGTACCATTCTGATATCATTGCACAACTATAAATAAAACACAACGACATACAAAATATCCTCAACTTATAATAAGTGGTTCCCCTTGAACTGATAAAATCACAAACTTTCGTAAGTACATTTCCGGTATGCCAAAATATTACAGTCAATAGGCCATGACTGAGTATTCGGGTCAAATTATTTCTGCAGAAATGAGATTGACAGTTGTAATAAATCCTCATACTAAATATCTGTCACGTACCGCTTTTAATCCTCCCGAAACTGACGAAATCACAATGTTTAACAAATTGGATGTACTGCCGAATCCGACACCGACACAGAAAACAGAACACCTTAGTCGTAATTCTTCACTTTATCACAGGCTAGACAACATCTTTTTTTTATCTTACCTCCTATATATTTCTAGGAATATGATTGGTTAAAAGCAACCGCGTGGAGACCGTGTATATTTCATATGGGGTTAGAATGCGAGGCTTATTTCAATACACGGTTAGTAGTGGTGTAACGTCCCCTTATAAAACAACACGGTGTTGAGGAAAAATCTGAAAGGTTTCAACAGACGAAGAAATTGATGATGAACGATTGAAATAAATTCATAAAACACATTTCAAGCTAACAAGTTGTTATTGTTGGCATTTGTTTTTGTATAGACCAATGGAAGTAGGTTCTTAATACAAACGGCATTGAAGACTTGATCACTTTGATAGGCCACTAGTCTAAATACCACATGTTGAGATAGTCGGTAAGATAAATTCGTTACACAGTGTGCTAGTGACCTAATACGATATATACGGGGTCAGTAAATTCCATATGGGGTGAGAGCGAATATAAGGTCACTAGCACACTATATAACGAATATTATTCCACTGACACAAGAAGTCTGAGAATTTATTTACCGATGTCATTATATTTATAAAGCTGCATTGGGAGAACAAACTTTTTTTAAATTTTTTTAATCAATTTCTAAATATATAATTAATGGACTATCAGACTGACGAAGAATTAATACATTCTTTAGCATGCAAAATAAATTTGTCTTAAAACACAAGAACCACAAAAAAAAATAAAAAAATAGAAGATCTGATATTGAATATTTTAATTTTTCAAAATGACTCTCTTACTAAAAATGATTTTAAGCATTTGTGGTTCAGATGGGAAGATGAATCTAAATATTTAACAAGATGAAATTTACATTACCGCGATATTTGATTGTTTTATCATAACAAAAAGATATTATCGTGATAAGATGATACGTTATAAATTGCTAATAATGAAATTTTGTCATCACCTGTTCTTGGATAACTCGATATAACAAATATATCATCTTTGTTAGGCTCACAATCCTTGATGATATTATTTGCTGCAGAATCTGTAGAGTCAAAAGTATCAATTTCTTCTGAAAATATTTATAATAGTTTATATCAATAGGTATATTATAAATAAACTTTTAAACATGTATCTTATAAACCAATCTGCATGACTGAGGGTAATATATAACGCTTTCATATTTTATTATACATGATTTATTTATTGATATGAGTAAAAAAAAATGTTGATATATGTCATTGAGAGAGCAACCTATAACAATACAATGACAAAAGAGTACTTTGATACGCTCTAAAAAGACAATAATACGTATCATATGTAAATATCATGTATACGTTTTACCAACTTCATTATCAAAGGCGTACTCTTGACACTAGAAAAATTACGAGAGAGAACGACTGAAATCAACAATTTACACGTTTTACGGTTATCATCAATAATTGGTTACCCAGGAATAGATGACATGGGCTGCATTTGGTAAAACCTTTAAGAATTTTCGATCCTTAATGCTCTTCAACTTCGTACTTTATTTGGCCTTTTTAACTTTTTTGATTCGATCGTCACTGATAAGTTTTTTGTAAACGAAATGCGCTTCTGGTGTACAAAATTTACATTCTGGTATCTATGATGAGTTTATTTGTCCGATACGATGTGTTTGTGCCTCAACTAACAAGCTTCATGTTTGGACAGTATTAATCTTTAAGTGATAGAACAGTTGTGTAAATCGTAGATTAAATTACCGAGTGTGTCCTTTTGCCTATTTTAGATATTTGCCTGATAGTTGATTTGCATTGTGGTTTGTAGATGCATATCGAAAGATGCTTGTAGACGAGCCTAGCATGGCTCCAGTCGGAGTCAAACGATTCCCTCAGATTGTTTATTTGTTTTATCCTGATTTGCAAATCTCTAAATTGGTAGAAGAGATATACACATTGCCAAACAACTATTGCCTCTAATTTATGACGATAATAATCAAAGCATTATAGAGATCATTGTCGTTTTTCCAAAGGAATTTATTATTGTGTGTTATTGTTTGTTTATTTTGTTAGAGATTAAAATAGTGAAAAGGATTGATGAGTAAAATAATCGGTTACAAAAAGTTATATTAGTGTGGCAATCAGGGCTAATGTTGTTTTAAAAAGATGAACTTTTTTTTATGATTTTTTAGAATGTTTTAAAATCGTGATAATTGTTAAAACCATTATGAAGCAGTAACTCGAACATTATAGTGTATTCCCAAATAATGTGTGTGATTATTTCCTTTTAACTTTTTTTTCATTTACTGCAACTTCTTGTTTAAAGCTGGTTATTTTTCGCCCTGCATATCAATGGTCATTTACAATATGTACTTATTCCATTTATCATTTTTTAGGGTCAATAGGGATTGTCTGATAACATGCATGATAACTTGGGATTACAATTTTCCCTTAAAATTACCTTATAAATTATCAGAATGTTTTACTATTTGCTTATATTAAAAACATAAATTTAAGCATTTGGATATTTTTATCGCCAATAGTTACTCCAAGTTATGACTGTATTTATTATTACAGTTTAACACAGAAAATACCTTGAAAATTGTAGGTATGAATGAAAACAATTTTCGGTTTCCCATCAAAATGATGACATGCTTTAATGATGTCCAAAATATCTTTCTCTGGAACCTCGTTCCCATGAGTATCATAAATCTTGTTTGCTTCAGAGTCAAATTTCCCAGATACAAACATAATAACAAGACTGTCATACTGAGAGGAGGGATCCTTGTCTATTTCAGTTAATATCTTTTTCAAGAACTCTTTAATTACCTGCAAAGAAAATGATCTTACATTTCATTTGTGGTAATTCATTGTAATAAATTGAAAGAAATCTTTCAGATCATAAATCTGTTGATCTTACCTCCTATACACTTCTAGGAATATGATTGATTAAAAGCGAACACATGAAAACCGTGTATATTTAATACTTGGTCAGTGGGTGTGTTTCATTTTAATAAACGGCTATTAGTGGTGTAACTTCCGTTTATATAAATAACATCGCGTTGAAAACGAAGAAATTGATGAAATATGCAGAAAACACATCAAAAACTAACGAATTATCATGGATGTATTTGTATAGACCAATGGAAGTAGTTTCTTATATTGAAGACTTGATCACTTTAATATGCCACTAGTCTAAATACCACATGTTGAGATAGTCGGTAAGATAAATTCGTTACACAGTGTGCTAGTGACCTAATACAATATATACGGGTTCAGTAAATTCCATATGGGGTGAGAGCGAATATAAGGTCACTAGCACACTATATAACGAATATTATTCCACTGACACAAGAAGTCTGAGAATTTATTTACCGATGTCATTATATTTATAAAGCTGCATTGGGAGAACAAACTTTTTTTAAATTTTTTTAATCAATTTCTAAATATATAATTAATGGACTATCAGACTGACGAAGAATTAATACATTCTTTAGCATGCAAAATAAATTTGTCTTAAAACACAAGAACCACAAAAAAAATAAAAAAAAATAGAAGATCTGATATTGAATATTTTAATTTTTCAAAATGACTCTCTTACTAAAAATGATTTTAAGCATTTGTGGTTCAGATGGGAAGATGAATCTAAATATTTAACAAGATGAAATTTACATTACCGCGATATTTGATTGTTTTATCATAACAAAAAGATATTATCGTGATAAGATGATACGTTATAAATTGCTAATAATGAAATTTTGTCATCACCTGTTCTTGGATAACTCGATATAACAAATATATCATCTTTGTTAGGCTCACAATCCTTGATGATATTATTTGCTGCAGAATCTGTAGAGTCAAAAGTATCAATTTCTTCTGAAAATATTTATAATAGTTTATATCAATAGGTATATTATAAATAAACTTTTAAACATGTATCTTATAAACCAATCTGCATGACTGAGGGTAATATATAACGCTTTCATATTTTATTATACATGATTTATTTATTGATATGAGTAAAAAAAAATGTTGATATATGTCATTGAGAGAGCAACCTATAACAATACAATGACAAAAGAGTACTTTGATACGCTCTAAAAAGACAATAATACGTATCATATGTAAATATCATGTATACGTTTTACCAACTTCATTATCAAAGGCGTACTCTTGACACTAGAAAAATTACGAGAGAGAACGACTGAAATCAACAATTTACACGTTTTACGGTTATCATCAATAATTGGTTACCCAGGAATAGATGACATGGGCTGCATTTGGTAAAACCTTTAAGAATTTTCGATCCTTAATGCTCTTCAACTTCGTACTTTATTTGGCCTTTTTAACTTTTTTGATTCGATCGTCACTGATAAGTTTTTTGTAAACGAAATGCGCTTCTGGTGTACAAAATTTACATTCTGGTATCTATGATGAGTTTATTTGTCCGATACGATGTGTTTGTGCCTCAACTAACAAGCTTCATGTTTGGACAGTATTAATCTTTAAATGATAGAACAGTTGTGTAAATCGTAGATTAAATTACCGAGTGTGTCCTTTTGCCTATTTTAGATATTTGCCTGATAGTTGATTTGCATGGTGGTTTGTAGATGCATATCGAAAGATGCTTGTAGACGAGCCTAGCATGGCTCCAGTCGGAGTCAAACGATTCCCTCAGATTGTTTATTTGTTTTATCCTGATTTGCAAATCTCTAAATTGGTAGAAGAGATATACACATTGCCAAACAACTATTGCCTCTAATTTATGACGATAATAATCAAAGCATTATAGAGATCATTGTCGTTTTTCCAAAGGAATTTATTATTGTGTGTTATTGTTTGTTTATTTTGTTAGAGATTAAAATAGTGAGAAGGATTGATGAGTAAAATAATCGGTTACAAAAAGTTATATTAGTGTGGCAATCAGGGCTAATGTTGTTTTAAAAAGATGAACTTTTTTTTATGATTTTTTTAGAATGTTTTAAAATCGTGATAATGGTTAAAACCATTATGAAGCAGTAACTCGAACATTATAGTGTATTCCCAAATAATGTGTGTGATTATTTCCTTTTAACTTTTTTTCATTTACTGCAACTTCTTGTTTAAAGCTGATTATTTTTCGCCCTGCATATCAATGGTCATTTACAATATGTACTTATTCCATTTATCATTTTTTAGGGTCAATAGGGATTGTCTGATAACATGCATGATAACTTGGGATTACAATTTTCCCTTAAAATTACCTTATAAATTATCAGAATGTTTTACTATTTGCTTATATTAAAAACATAAATTTAAGCATTTGGAAATTTTTATCGCCAATAGTTACTCCAAGTTATGACTGTATTTATTATTACAGTTTAACACAGAAAATACCTTGAAAATTGTAGGTATGAATGAAAACAATTTTCGGTTTCCCATCAAAATGATGACATGCTTTAATGATGTCCAAAATATCTTTCTCTGGAACCTCGTTCCCATGAGTATCATAAATCTTGTTTGCTTCAGAGTCAAATTTCCCAGATACAAACATAATAACAAGACTGTCATACTGAGAGGAGGGATCCTTGTCTATTTCAGTTAATATCTTTTTCAAGAACTCTTTAATTACCTGCAAAGAAAATGATCTTTTATTTCATTTGTGGTAATTCATTGTAATAAATTGAAAGAAATCTTTCAGATCATAAATCTGTTGATCTTACCTCCTATACACTTCTAGGAATATGATTGATTAAAAGCGAACACATGAAAACCGTGTATATTTAATACTTGGTCAGTGGGTGTGTTTCATTTTAATAAACGGCTATTAGTGGTGTAACTTCCGTTTATATAAATAACATCGCGTTGAAAACGAAGAAATTGATGAAATATGCAGAAAACACATCAAAAACTAACGAATTATCATGGATGTATTTGTATAGACCAATGGAAGTAGTTTCTTATATTGAAGACTTGATCACTTTAATATGCCACTAGTCTAAATTCCACATATTAAGATAGTCGCTAAGATAGAAAATTTCTTACACAGTTTGCTAGTGACCTATACAATATCTAAGGCTATAAACAGCTGGTCAGGAAATTATTGTTGAAATATAATGAGTTTGACAATATACTACATAATATAAACGAACCCAATCTGCTATAACCAGCAAAAAATAATTGAAGATTTTCAGAAGTACATGTTGGTTATAATGAAAACATTTTTAAAGTTCTTATCAAATACATTTTAATGATACAATACCTCTTTTGGTTTGTTTACCAGGTTACCACCTTTTGAATCATATCGCATGTATTTAAATAGTTGACCAATATTGGATTTATCAAAGTCTGAATTCGAGATACATTGCTGCGAATATCTTGCTTCCTTCATTTTGTCTTCATCACATTTGCTTTTTATACATTGTGAAACGCACTGAGCATTGGATATCAAGATAAACTTTCCTCTGCTTTTGCTTTGCATTGGATAGATCTTAAAGATAATTATATAAATACAGTAACTTTTCAGTTAACCATTGCCTTGTATTGTGGTTGTCAATGTCCTTCCTAAGGGAGGCAATTATTGTTAAAATATGATTTTGATAATATAGTATATGTATTAATCGAACTCAATCTACTATAACAGCTGGTCTGGTTATGTAGTTGAACAGCATTAAAAACCGAAATTCCAAAAAGCTGTGCAAAATACTTCTTAGGCCAGCTATGCCTTTGGAGCGGTGAACCATTTTGTTTCGAATAATTAAATATTCTATAGTTATAAACAGTTAATTTACAGAAAATTATCCTATCTGTCTATGATATATTCGTTACAAGATGAGTTGATTTTTCCCAACCGCTAGATTAAATTTGAAAACAGTTTAGGAGTCCTAACATTTTCATTATATTTTTCAACATTTCACGATACAAATTACATTTTGGTAAAGCATAAAAAAACTTCTTTCATGTTTTGTTAATTGCCCAGTACTTATAACGGAAAGCGGGTAAATATCAATTTTAGTAAGGTATTGTCTCATATATCAGTTTGCCAAAAGCTCATACATTGATAAGGAGTTGTGGTATGATTGCCAATGAGACAGTTTTTGACCAAGCCAATGTCAATTTCTAAAAAAAATATGACAGTTTAAACATGTTTAGATAGGCATATTTCCATTCTCCATTTTATAGAAGCCTAGCAACTAACATTTTGCTCTTAACGCCAACATAATAATTCATCGATAAAACTGACGTAAAGTTAAAAGCATTGAAAAAATTTTTTTTAATAATTTTGCTATGTAAGGGGTATAATCATGACCAGGATGATTTCTATCGCACTACCACCTCCTTTGTATATCTTGTCTTGCTGGTATATTTTCCTCTTTATCAACAATAGGTTTTTTTTCAAAAATGAAAAAAAAAAACAAGTGGTTAAAAATTTAACTGACGGGCATATAATTCCCAACAAAGATTCAACTGATGATTTCGGTCATTTTGGCGTATTTGTCTACCTCAAGAGACAGACGAAAGATACCAAATGGACATACAAACTCATAAGTTGAAAAAAACTGACAGCCCATGGCAAAACAAGAAAAGGATCAAAAGACAAACAACAGTGTACAAAACATAACATAGAAAATTAAGACTGAGCAACACAAACCCCACCATAACACCAAGGGTGATGCCAGGTGCAAGGGTAAGCAGATTCTGCTCCACATATGACAATCGTCGTGTTGCTCATGTAAGTACAAATCTGGTGATAAGTCTTATTCGATAGGTTACATTGGATAAAAAAAGGACGTGATTGTGGTAACGTAAATTTTGAAATTCTGAACTATTTCCTTCTTCAAATTTCTCTATCTATATCAATTCTGAATTAAGGAATACATGGTACCCGTATGTTCTATTTTTAGCCTTGGTGTCGATGCTGTTTGGCAGGCAGTATCATTGAATATATTCCTTAAACTAGATACATGTACTCTAAAAATAAGTGTGTTTAAGTTTTGTTCAAATTGGTCGAATAGCTTTTTGAGGAGGAATAAGGACGACAACGGACGCCAAATTAATAATAATTACTCACAATTTGGGTCATATGAACTAAAAATTCGAGGGAAGTGATAGAGTGGACAGAAAAATGTGCATTGTTTGTGGAAAATGTTAATATAGAGAGATTCTAGTATGAAATTAAACTGCAATATAAAAAGAAAGAGAAGGACAATTATCGCTTTTATACATTTTTTTTTAAATCAGTTTCCTTTGAGGATATTCTATTCTGTTGCATAATTAGAGAATACTTGTTTTAAAGCAAATTATCATCAAGCATTTGGTAATTGTTGTACATTTGTTCTTTTAAATGAACTTAAGACGGATTTTACTGGATTTAGTCATTAATTGTGATTTATAACAGTACATAAACAAGTCTCTTTTGAAAATAAATCAAACGCAATCACTGCACACAGGAATACCTAAAACATGTCCATACATTGTATTGCTAAAACATTAAAAATTGTGTTATCTAGGGAAAATTAACAAATTTCATCATTTCACAGCTAACAGTTTTTAAGCTTAATTTAGTCTACACAACATTACCTTTCCCTTTTTGCTTTCACATGTCATTGTGAATGATTTTTCAGTGCACTTTACTACGTCATCTATCTTTACAAATGCCAAGCTCTTGCTTAAATCTGGCCAATCTATAGTAGTAAACAAAGCTTATCAAAGATACCAGATTAATCATTTGTACGGCAGATGCGCATTTCGTCTGCAAAAAACACATTTGTGACATTTCAATAAAAACAAGTTGGAAATAATACTCTATCTTACAAAATGATGATAGAGATTAAAGTATTTTTAACGATAGCAAAAGTGGTAGTTTCATGGTTCAAACAAAATGTTTAACATCATTGTTTCTAAATTTAAATATAATCTGACCATTTGCAAACAGACTTGTTTTTTTATCAGTTGCCATTGGCTTGAAATAATAGCTATCCGTAACTATGGGAACTATTTGATCGGTTCTTTGTGTCTTTTGTCCTTATGTTAGTTGTTCATGCGCTTCATGCCAATCTGATAAGTCAAGCCATTTCATACTAATTTTTACAGTTTGTTCCTATGTTATGCTGCTACAACATTGTCACAGGTTATATTGAGGGTTGAGCACTCAAAAGCATGTGTCAATCCCTGAACATCCTGTATAGTCATGTTCAAGAACCCGTTCACAAGCAGTCGTTGGTTGCAGTCTGTTATATCTGTTTTGTTTTTTATTGTTTTGTCATAAATCAGGCCGTTAGTTTTTTCATCTGAATTGTTTCCCATTTCTTCATGTCAGGGCCGTTTAAAGCTGACTTTATGATAAGGATTATGCTCATTGTTGAAAGCCTAACGTTTATTAATAGTTTCTTAAATGAACTTTAAGGGATAGTTGTATCATTGGCAATCATTCCATATCTTATTATTAAATGATTATGAATAACAAGACACTTGCTGTTTTGTTCTCATTTATTTACTATGCTTTGCTATGGGTTCAATTATTTCTTGCATGGTTGATATAAAAAAAAAACTCTAACATGTGGTTGTTAAAATCTGTGGATTGCTACTTCTAGAATTAAAATCTATGATAAAATATACTAAAACACATAGATTGCATATGTTAGCTTAATAATGATAATGAGATGATTGAGGACACACGCACTTTAGAAGAAGTAACACTGTCGTTTTAAATTTAAATAAAAAACAGTTTGGGAGTTTAGTATGACGTCCATTATCACTGAACTAGTATACATATTTGTTTAGGGGCCAGCTGAAGGACGCCTCCGGGTGCGGGAGTTTCTCGCGGCATTGAAGACCCATTGGTGGCCTTCGGCTGTTGTCTGCTCTATGGTCGGGTTGTTGTCTCTTTGACACATTCCCCATTTCCATTCTTAATTTTATCATTATCAACCCTGAAAATGCTTAATTGAACTTTGTGAAAAAGTTATCTTCCTAGACCAAACAAAATATTCTATGATAAAATAATGAATAATAATCCGAGTGTATTTCACCATTAAGATTAAATTATATTTAAATGTGTTCGTGTCTACATGCAAAAACATAATAGGATCATAGGTTTATTTTTGTGTCAGGCCTTCTGCTTCAAATAAAACGAAAACTTTGATAAAAAGAGACAAATATAAATGTCCTGATATGGTACTATTCAAGTAACACAATCATATTGTCAGGCCATATAATGAAAAGATGGAATCAATATATAATAAGAGGATTTTGTCGGATTGCCAATCAGACAACTATCAACTAGACAAATAATGTGATGACCAGTCAATAATGTTAAAATCAACATTAATGGGAAAAAAAAAAAATTAAAATCAAATCTTGTTTTCAAACTTGTCATACCTTGTTTATTTTGAGATTCTAATTTGTTTGTTTCCTCTGGTTGTTCGGTATATTGTTGTTTTGCCTCCTGTGTATCACCATTGGTACTTTTAGAACCATCGTGTTCTCTCAAGTATTCAGCAGCATGTGTGTTCTCTGTTTCATCGAGCGCTTTAATGAAACTATGATAAGCATTCCTTCCTCTCCTTGGTAAGATAGATAAAAGTTCTCTAATATGTGCAGTGGGCGCTGGCGTTTTCGTCTGTATCCCAACATTGAAAGAAAAAAAAGAGCAATATTCTTTTCAGAAATTTTTATGGCATTTTTTATATTATATATGTCATGTACATGACTTTAGTGTCAGACCTATGTCAAATTTCACAACATTGTTAGGCCTCTTACCTGTTTGAATCCATAGATATTCATGTTTTTATCACTTCCAGTAGTTCGTTCCTTAAATATTTCTTATCAAACTGTTTTTGCCTCGCCCTGTGTCTGCACAAATTTCAACATCTTCACCTACATCGTTACATGGTTGAAATGCAAAGGGTCTACGACCCATCACGCAAGTACTAAGTCTAAGTCAGCCATTCATTATGGTGCCCATTAAAAACATATCTACATGTGCAGATTGAAATTATGTTTATTTTTGCGTGACAACTCTGTTAACTAAGATGCGAGACTGTTTTAATATTTCAATGCAACATTTGAGGATACAGTTTTAATGTATGTTTTGTTTGCCCTTTTACTGCTTAGATTTTAAATATTTGAAAGGTAAAGTAAGTAGTCTTGACCAAAATAAATGTGTGTATGACTCTTAAATAGTAGACAGAATAGAACCCATAAAACCCATTTGTCAGAATAGTAGATAGCTAAACGGCATTAGTTACAATTACCCGCAAAAAGTAACAATTATATATAAATATTATAACTTCCGAGACTAATTGCCGAAATGTACTTCTCGACAATGATCCGATTTCATACAAGGATCAATAGTAATTATCTTTTATTGTCACTTTTGCGGGTAATCGTAGCCAGTGCATAGCTATAATGCGGAGACTAATAAATTACGATAAAGGTTTAAAAAGATCTTAATTCCTGGCACTGCTAAAATCAAGAGTCAATCAATTACTCCATAAGCCAGAGGTTAAAAGGATGTGTCTGTAATATAAAAATAAGGAGATGTAATATGATTGCCAATGAAACAACTATCAACCGAAGTTCAAATGAAGTGTCTGTAAGCAATTATAGGCAACTGTACGGCCTTCAACAATGAGAAAAACCCATACCGTATGGTCGGCTATAAAAGGCCCCGACATGAAAAATATGAAACAATTTAATTGAGAAAAAATAAAGGCCTAATTTATAACAAAACAATTTACGAAAAACAAATTTGACAGACATGAACCAACGACAACCACTGAACTACAGGCTCCGGACTTGGGACAGGCACATGTAAGACATGATATTTGTACTTGAGTCACAGGAACTTCTATACTGTACTCGTAATGTTTGATTTCAACAGCACAATCATCATGGTTGTCAATTAACTCTTTGACTATTTATATGACGACGTGAGTATCAAGTGTTACTTGGAGTTTATCAATCTAAATATGGTTAAAAAACCATATGGACTCGTGGAAGCATACAGGTATCTCTACAACGACTAGCTTTAAAAAAATCTTAACACTGTTAACACGACGAAATGGATATACAACAGTATACCATGAGACATCAGTCTTTAATGAGCATGTAAGATAAGCAATGTCCATTTCTATACTGATAGATTGAGTGAACATTATACAGATGTTGTTGTCAAATTCAACACATCTAAGAAATCAAAAGGCCCTTACAGTATATGACTTTTGAATAATAGAATGAATACTTTTGCCTCATGATTACCAAGAAGTAAATTTTCATTCTGAATCTCGGACAAAAGCGATTCATTTCACAAAAAAAAACATCTTACGAAAAATAACGCACGTAAGTTATGAACATTTCAATATAACTAACGGTTAATCTAAGTCGTGTGAGTTTTTGTGGAAAGAGCAACAGATTCTTACAAGGTTGTTACATGTTGTTTTTCTTTAAATGGAAAGTATATTTCGATCTGACAGACCTTAATTGAGTCATTCAGTCCTTGTGTTAGTATCCCATCAACAACTAAATGATCGCATATGGTTTCCACTTCAGACAGATTTCTTATAAGGTAGACAGAACATTTTTGAAGAGCTTTTTTGTGTTTCCCTTCCATTTTGGTTGTGTAGTTCTGAAGAAGAAAAATCACTAAAAGAAAACAATGATTATCAGATTCTTTGGTTATTATATGTAAACTTTTGAACTGAAAACTTTTGTCTGATCCTTATATCATTGTTTTAAATAATAAACTGTTTTAATCTAATAATTATCACAACTGTATTGTTTAACAAATACATATATTAATCATTTCTGCTATAATCACACATACATTTCTCAACCAATTTGAAATGTTCGGCTACAATATCAATTGACCCCAATTTTACTGCCGGTAATCTAAGATATCATCAAGTGTCTGTGAGCCTAAAAATTCTGGAAAACCTTTCATTCCTCAAATGGCTCATATACTAGAGAATATTATTATTGATAACTGATGTATTTCATCCAAAATTACTATACACGTTAGCTTGCTTACTCATCTTATAGCATGGATTTTAAAGTATTAGTAGTATTCAGTTTAAATTATGTACATTTGCCAATCCCTTTAGTTAATAAACATCAACGAGTCATTCAAGAATCTGTACAGAGAGATATTTTATAGACCAAGAAAAATTAGTTGCGTTTCTGGTAACAATGTGAGGTAAGTTATGTGTCTCAAAATGAAGCTACACAATTATGTAGTAAGAAAAAAATAAAACTGAAATTAAATGAGGAATTTATTTTCAGTGCCCGGATAATGTTATATATTCACATTTAAATCGGGACGAAAGAAATGATCTGCAAAATCTGCAAAGCTCTCCTTTTCCCAACCAAATATTCAAAATATGTGGATAAAGTTCAAGAGAAAAAATTTATTTTGGATGAAATAAAAAATAACAAATTTGAAGTAACGAGTGTTAAATTTAAAGTCAATGATCATAAATAAGGGCAACAGTAGAATACCGCTGTTCAAAAGTCATAAATTGGTTAAGAGAAAACAAATTCGGGTTACAAACTAAAACCGAGGGAAACACATCAACTATAAGAGGAAAACAACGGAACAACAGAAACACTGAACTGCAACAAAAAACAAACGCCAACATACATAGAAACGGACTATTTGATGGTGGTTTTAACCTGGTTTTATGGCTAGCCAAACCTCCCGCTTATATGGCAATGTTAAAAAATACCGCTAAAATGACAACACTACGTGACAGGAATAAAGGACGTATTTTTGTGACGTATATATTAATCTTGAAATTCATAAAATTATATGGAACGAGATCCAAAAATTCACAATTATTTTCACAATACTAGCCCAAATAATTATCATGATTATGACGATCTTGAAAGGCTATTTTAAGTTAATGCTGTGACGACGTCATAATTATTTGGACTAACAATACCTCATATGGATATAAGAAGATGTGGAATGAGTGCCAATGAGACAACTCTCCATCCAAGTCAAAATTTATAAAAGTAAACCATTTATCCATGGCAAATGGAAATTAACTCGACTATACTGACAAATAAGACATATGTGAAATGTACCGAAAATACAGAATTGAAACCACAAACGATAAGACATAACACAATATCCAACTTACTTACAAAAGAAACATCATAACTAAATACATGAATGTTGGATGTATAAATACCGAGACACGTCGTATAGCAAAGCGAATTCACACTCGGGAAAACAGTCATATTTGGGAATATTCAATATGCAAAATGTTAACATAAAATGTCACTCAGTTTGTTAACTGCAAAAGAAACGACGTAGTTTTGTTGTGGTGTAGCATTTACTGAGTGTTTGGCTGTAATTGATTTACTGTGGAGATAAAAGTAGCAGCCTTTCCTGAAGTCGCTGCTGAGATGATTGACACAATTATAATGTGTACTACGCACCTTTCAATGTCTTCTTCTTTTCCTGGAATAGATTGGACCACGTTGTGATATTAACTTAAAGGTTTTGTGTAAAATATTTCGTAGGTGTCGTACATCAACTACACACCTTTTAAATGAAATAATACCAATTGATAGTTATGGGGTATTTAATCGAATATTACGTATACTGGTATGATCACGAATTCACTTCCTGCTTTACAATTTCAAATTACCTTACCAGTCTATTTCCGTTTTGTCAGTATTTATACATTTTGGGTCACAGAAGGTCAACACAGTAACAAATAATCGAACCATATTGATAATAATAATTAACTTAAACATTTATTATTTGAAAAAAAAGAAGACCGTAATTTGTTAGATTGATAATTGAATATGATCAGAGGTGTGGATAAATTTCTGCTGTTGAAACTGACAATTGTAGTAAATAAATGTGGATATTGACGAATCACCTATGCGACATCGCCCAAAATTAATCCAATGGCATCTATAGGTCAACAAACAATTTAAAACAATAAGCATTTCGATACACTAGACACAACAATACCCTCAAATGGAATTGTTCTACGAATTAAGTCGATAGCCCAAGGTGAAGAGCCGTAATTCGTTCATTTATCAATACGCGTGTATAAGTTTGAGTGATCATTTTTTTGCTGGCAATCTAAGACTTGTATAATAAAAGTAATGTAGAAATATAAAATAAATTACAAAAATTATTGACACAAATGTAGAAGTGATTTTGTAGGGTAAGTGAGAACTAAAATTTTCGATAAACGATATGATTTTAATTGTCTTATTGTAAAATTGTCATTTCTGTAGTAGCATTCCAGCCAGGTCTGCATATAATTATTTCATTGATAGATCGTTGTGTGGAAACAGTTGGAAGGGTAAATCAAATATGAAGTCGAAGAACATTAGAGAAAAAAACATTCTGAAAAGTGGTGCCAAATCATAGTCTATCTCTACATGGGGTAGAAAACCCTTAATGTTTCGAATTCTTAAATATCTAATTACGTTAACAGTTTATTTAGAAAAAATAAAGTTCAACGATATTTGATTATACACAAAAATGTTGGCTACTGGGCTGTTGATACTCTCGGGATGAAACGTCCATCAGAGATAGTATTGTAAAACATGAACTTATTGTCGTGCAAAGGCGGCACATGTGTTCTACTCTACAATGTACATGTAGAATTTTTTTAAGCGTTTCGTCATCTTGCTCTTATTTGCAGTGTTGTATTGTGTTTTCTCTTTTTCAATGATTGTATTGTTTATATCAACATTGAAAACTATGCTCACATTTTGTCAAGATAAAATGTCAAAGAATTTAAGTCACCGATAGTTTATGAATATGGTAATGTCTCCTTTAACTAAAATAAAGCAATAACCAATCCGTCACTGTCCGTTGTCAGTCAACGGATATTACTCGCCAATTTTACCAGAAGTAACTGCAAGAGAGGCACTAGTGGTGCAGAAATTGCTGACCCTTAATTAAGATAATATTGATAATTTCCAAAGGAGATTTACACGTGAAATCCTTATTTTATGGTATTTTTCATATGTGAGCTTATGATTTATTTGGTTCTTTCCTCACAGATATAAAATCCAGTTGATATTGTCAAATGCTTAATTTACATAAGGTAATTGTGTGATTCCCACTCTATCCATTAACTCAGTTTTTGTTTTTTTTACCTTGCGTTGTCTTCCTAATCGATTTATGAGATTTGAACATCTGAAAATCTGTTGTCTTAATTTTCACAATAGTTCCCATATCAGAGGCTAAAGGCTCCAATAAAATTATCAAAAACAATATGTTAAAAATGAAATGCAACGAAATAAAACTAGTACACTTTATAGTACTAATAATTTTGATCTAAAACGGTCATTTTGATTTGAATAACTCTTAGCAGAATCAAGAATACATTATTAAGTCATTTTCAGTCATTTAGTCAGTTATCTACTTCGTTAAATATAGTACTGTTCAGACAATTCGCTTACACTTTTTGTTCGAACAGTTCAGTAGCTGTTACCTGTACACATCAACATCATACTGAATGATCTGAAAAGCTGCTGAACAGCACTGACTGAAAGACTGAACAAGACCTTAAACATGTTATAATTTATTGTTCAGACTATTTAGATGAATTTTTAAGATTAAAGTTCATTTACTAGTGTAAATAGAAATATGCTCGCAACAAAGAAAAAAAAAAAAAAAAAAAAGAAAAAAGAACCAAACACAAATGATCATGAACATGGCAAATCATTTTTTTTTTTTAAATAAACTTTAAATAACATTATTTTTCTATTAGTTTTTACACCAATGCCAGTGTTGACACGAAATCCAAACCTTCACGTCAACACCATTATAGTATACATGCACCAGAATCACCTACCATTGCATATCTTTATAGTCAAATCATCTACTGGTATTATTTTCTTTTATTGCTGTCAATGTATTGGTATATGTAGTTCTGTGTTTCTGTAATATTCATGGTATTAACTTGTTTTACATTAAACTGTTATCTGGGGGAAAAAAATAAAAAAAGTTTCTTGAACATTTAAGCTGCTTATAAGCAGGACAACGTGTTTTCACAAAATTCAAGATTTATTAAATTTCTAAAGGTACATTAACTGTAAACCGCCATCTTGGATTGTAAAATAGCAGTACACATCAGTCTAGTTCTTTGTTCAAATCTGCAATTTTTTGGGACAGATGGGCAATTAATGTGTAAGACTGTTTATTTGAATAAAGAAAATTAAATGATTTTTTGCATTATTTGCATTGTTTTAACAAATACCAAATATTTTTTTTGTTCGAATCAACATTTCAACTTAGCCATTTAAGGGGAGATAACTCCAATAATAAGATTTTTAAAAAGCAATATTAATAAAATTTTTATATATAACTTGTAACAAGAAATCTTCTCATATTTTATTTAAAAGTTCTATTGCATAGTTTTTTTTATTTACAAAAAAAGTGTTTTTCAAATTTATATCCCATTAAAATCAAAACAGAATATTTATATAATTATATTTAAGTTTTCTATGTTGTGTTTTGTATACTGTTTGTTTGTCTTTTGATATCTGTCTTTTGTTTGAATGATTCCTTGGTATCTTTCGCCTCTCCGTTAAAAGCTACAACATTTCTAATTTTACTGACATGTCAAGACTATAACCTCTAAAATATAATAGTTTCCATTTAGTGTGAAGGTGGGGTGGTATGTATGTTTATCTTTGTATTAACATAATTCGATGTTTGATTATTATTTATTTCCAAAACAAGCAGAAGAAAAACTTTCGCCATAGTTATATTTCAACACCTCATTGATATAATGCAGAAAGCTAGTTATTATAAAGATACAAATGACACCAAAAGGAATTTGGGTAAATGTTTGGTCTTCTATGTTTACGGAGAGCTGAAAGTGCCAGATTGATATTCAAAATATATTGCGAAAACCCACCGGAGACCGCTGAAATCACGGTGAGATCCCCCTGGTCTTCCAATGTCCATAAAATTAGATGATCTTTTAGACTATGTATATATACAAATCGTATCAAAAGGATTTCCCGGAATAATGTCATCTCACAATATCTACGGAGGGTTTAAATTGTCACTTTTCAGCTAAAAATCGTCGAAAATTCAGGTAAAAGGGCACAAGGCGATGGCTAGACCTCCCTGATCACTCAATCGTCATAATATTATACAGATAGCTAGTTAATATAAAGTTACAAATGACACTAAAAGGAATTTGGGTAAACTTTTTGTCTTCTATGTTTACGGAGGGCTGAAAGTGCTAGTTTAATATTCAAAATATATAGTGAAAACCTATCGGAGACCGCTTAAATGACGATTTTTGATTGAAAAGAGACACTTTAAGCCCTCCTTATATATCGAAGAGGAGACTTCTTTTCTTGAAAGCCTTTTGATACGATCTATCTATATACATAGTCTAAGAGATTGTTTAATTTTATTGACATTGAAAGACCAGGGGGGGGGGGGGGGGGATCTCAACGGCATTAAAGCAGTCTCCGGTAGGTTTACACTATATATTTTGAATATCAAACTGGGACTTTGAACCCTCCGTAATCATAGAAGACAAGAAGTATATCAGAATTGCTTTTGGTGTCATTTGTATCTACATATTATCTTACTTTATGCATAATATTATGAAGATTAAGAGATCAGGGAGTGCAAGCCAACGCCTTGGTCCCTTTTATCTGAATTTTCGCCGATTTTTGATTGAAAAGTGGACACTTTAAGCCCTCAGTATATATTGAAGTTGACCTCTTTCCTTGAAATCCACGATCTATATATATATATATAGATAGTCTAAGAGATTGTTTAATGTTAAATATAAAGCCAATCGAAAATACTAGTATCTTTTTTTCAGCTTTCCATAGTTTTTTTCTATTTACATTTGCAATTATTGCAATTGTGTCCGTTTGTTTTTGACTATCATGATTTTAATGTTACCGAATATCTATATTTCTATTACTTTCAACTAAGAAAATTCGAATATCCAACCGAGTGAAGGCAGCCGTTTGGATATTCGAATATCGAATAACCAATAACCAACCGGCCGTTAACTTCACATACACTTTACAAATTGTGTCAACAGGTCAAATTAATACGAAAGTACGATTTGAGAGTACTTGCTGTTACTGAAAGCTAGTTGAAAGCCATAAACAATTAACAATAAAAAATCATGCATCAGAGACTAAATTCAATTAAAACACATCTCAGGGATTTAGTATTTTAACGCCATGGACAGTCAAAGAAGACATGACTTGTACAGTGCCAAAATAAAAGTATCGACAGGCAGTAGGATCGTTAGGATTTAACCTTTTAATGAATATGTATCAATTTATATATAGATAAAGCAATCTCTAAATAGAAAATTAACGTGGATATGAATTTATACATCCCAAAAACCATCCGAAAAGAATACAAATTTAGTTATGTTTTAATTTGTTGATGACAAAATCGATGATAGTGCCAATGTAATCAAAATTCAAAGATCTGATTACAACATCAATAAGACAACCTTTACTTATAAGTTTGTTTAAAGGTTCGATGAGTTTACACGGATCACATAGTGATTTCCGCGCTTTTAGTAAAATATTACCGTAAAATTT